ATTCACGAAACTGTACAACGTATACGTCAGACGCTTACTGAAGTATGAAGCACCAGTTCAGCATGTGAACTATATAGGACCACTGTGTAAGAATGTTCAAAGAGACATAAAAACATATTCAGAAGTCTAAGTGCAGAATTTCACAATAAAGAAGCAGTCTCATTTTATTCCATTTGTTTTCTTACGCATTACCTGGCGTCAGTGTCTCAATATCCACACGTTACCCATTTTTTTTTAATATTTTTCGTTAGGTTAAGTTTGAATAGGCTTAGTCATAGTGAGTTTGACTTAGACCTGCCTAGAATGGATCGGTAGACCTGCTGCAGTACACCTTTCTTATGTTCTTATGTATAACTCAGGACTGGGTTAGACTAGGGTTCAGCTAGATTAGGTTACGGATAGGTTAGGTTTGGTTAAGACTAGCATAGATTAGGTTAAGACTAGCATAGATTAGGTTAAGACTAGCATAGATTAGGTTAAGACTAGCATAGATTAGGCTAAGACTAGCATAGATTAGGTTAAGACTAGCATAGATTAGGTTAGAGTTGAGTAAAGGCTAGATTAGGGTTAATTTAGCTTAGGTTAGGTTATATAAACCTAAAAACTTACATTCAGCCGCAACTAAGTACGTTACGAAAAAGGCCTTGAAATTTTTTGGTATCTGGGTGTTCCCAGACACACCTGACCTTTATAATCCATATGTTTTTCACGCATGGTATGACGACGGATTGCTTAAACACACACACACACACACACACACACACACACACACACACACACACACACACACACACACACACACACAGCAACGAGTGATGGTACGTGACGAGGTGTCAGAGTGGGCGCCTGTGACGAGCGGGGTTCCACAAGGGTCAGTTCTAGGGCCGGGGCTGTTTCTGGTGTATGTGAATGACATGACGGAAGGAATAGATTCAGAGGTATTCCTGTCTGCAGACGATGTGAAGCTAACGTGGAGAATTCAAACTGAAAAAGATCAGGTAGGACTATAAAGGGATCTGGACAGGCTGCAAGCCTGGTCAGACAACTGGCTCCTGGAGTTTAACCCCAGCCAAATGCAGAGCCAAAAAAGACCGCAGACGGAGTACAGTCTAGGGGCCAAAGGCTGCAAACCTTACACTAAGATTCTTTTCCTTGAGTATCATACCGAACAAATCTTCTGAGGCTTACATCAACCAAATAACTACTGCAGCGTATGGGCGCCTGGCAAACCTAAGAATAGCGTTTCGACACCTGAGTGAGGAGTCATTCAAGACACTGTACACTGTACGTCAGGCCCATATTGGAGTGTGCAGCACCAGTATGGAACCCGTACCTAGTCAAACACGTCAAGAAATTAGAGAAAGTGCAAAGGTTTGTAACAAGAGTAGTCCAAAAACTAAGGGGTATGTCCTACTAGGAGAAGTTCAAGGAAATTAACCTGACGACACTGGAGGACAGGATGGATAAAGGGGACATACCGGCATATAAAATACTGAGAGAAATTGACAAGGTGGACAGGGACAGAATGTTTCAGACACAGCAACAAGGGGTCACAGCTGAAGGTTGAAAACTCAGATGAGTCACAGGGATGTTAGGAAATATTTCTTCAGTCACAGAGCTGTCAAGAAGTGGAACAATCTGGAGAGAGATGTAGTGGAGGCAGGATCCATACATAACTTTAAGAAGAGATACGATAAAGCTCACAGAGCAGGGAGTGGACCTAATAGCGACCACCAACGAAGAGGCGGGGCCAGGAGCTGTGAATCGACCCCTGCAACCACAAATAGGTGAGTACGTACGTACACACACGCACACATATGAAGACATCGCTGGTCAAAAACTCGATGCTTGGCAGGTAAGGACATCTCAGCAGCCCAGTATGGAAACCATGGCCAGGCATCACTCGACTGACACTTAATTCAGCACTTTTGGCCCTGTTGACATTCAGAAATCCTGGAAATCAAACGAGCAGTTTTTTGTTAGTTTACTCAACATATAAAACTCCCTAAAATGTTTTTTTCTATACGATAATGAGGTCAGTGGTGCGGCAAGACTGCGTAGAATCGATTTGTATAAGGTGTGTATATGACTCTCTTCAATTTATGTAAGGTGTGTATAAGACACTCTTAAATTTGTGGTACTTAAATGTAGATATAACCTTTTCATTACATAAAATTGTTTTTATATTTCATTAACCTGGCAATTTATTACGAAAAAGGATACAAGTGCAGCTAATGCGATATTTTATTGTGGCAACATTTCGCTCTCCAGGAGCCTTGTCAAGCCGTAAGTTACTGCTTGACAAGTTACGACTTGACAAAGTTCCTGGAGAGCGAAAAGTTGCCACAATAGAATGTCTCATTAGTTGCACTTGTGTCCTTTTACCTAACAGATTACAGATTGTCGATAGTTTTACCAACATTACTAGACCCTGGCAACTGTTGTCAGTGCGTTGCGTAATTACATGCAATTCCATAGAAAATTAGTTACGAAAAGCTAAACGATAAGGTTTTAATCAAATTTATTCTCTCAACTGCATTTTGAGGGAAAAATTTGTCCCAAAACTCAATACATTATTTCAAGTGAATAAGGGTGGAGAGATTCTAATCACATGTCAAACGTGAGCAAGTCATGGCAGGGTGCAGCTTGTTTATTCATTGTGGCTCGTGAGACAAGATCCAAGTTTACTTTCATTATGGATCAAGTTCAGCTGCAGTGAGTGAGCAAATGAGACGCATGCGGTAGGTAGCCATTCCTTGGTCACACCTAATATATGTCATAGTGTCAGTGGACAACCAACAGGACACATACACCGATAAGGGTATATATCCTGTTGGCTGCCGATACGTGCACATCTCATATAAAATATATATATATATATATATATATATATATATATATATATATATATATATATATATTATATATATATATATATATATATATATATATATATATATATATAATGTGTGTGTGTGTGTGTGCAAAACAACCACACACACACACACACACACACACACACACACATGTATAATATATGTGTGTGTGGCCTCATTGAGCTTGGATTAGTCGACAGATTTTAAACCTGGCAAATCAACCAACATGGGCATCAGTGGCGTCTGAGGGACCACAACCAGGTACTCAAGTTTAAGTCAACAGATGAAAAGTTATTAGTTGCACTGTGTTTGCCTCCTGTCTTGGATCTTGTCTAGAATACCTAAAAAAAATGAACCTAGGATTTTATAGGCTAAAACATAAACTGTTAAATGTAGTGGGCAATTGAATAATATCAAGTTTTTCTTAGCTGCTCTTGAGATGTTGTACAGTGACCTTAACATTAGGCTTCTCAAGAGGAGCGTTATAAATTTATTCAACGCAATATATATACATGTGCCGAATAGGTCAAATTGGTCAATTAGCAAGAACTCATTTAAAATTAAGTCCTCTCTAGTTTTTTTCTTATACGTTTAAAGATATATCTTTTCATTTATGTTAATGTAAAAATTAATAATTTTGTACCAAGAGAACCTTACAAAACTTACCTAACCTTATTATAACAAATGAAATTTAAATTAGCCTAATCCAACTAAATATATTTTAGATAAGTTTACAATAATTTAATAAATAAACGCAGTGAAATATATTTTTTCGTTAGGTTCAGAATGATTTTTGCGAAATTATTGCATACACAATTTTTCGCTTGCCTTATTCGGCAAGAAGAGCGTTGATATTTAAGCCAGAATCGCGAGTTTTACCTATTCGGCACTATATATATATATATATTATATATATATATATATATATATATATATATATATATATATTATATATATATATATATATAAACACTGATCTCTGGCTGAAGGAGACTCGAACCTACGAACCTTAGGACAAGGTACGCAGTGCTTTACCAATCTACCCACACTGGACCAATACCTTGGCGTGTAGCTCATGCTACACGCCAAGGTATTGGTCCAGTGTGGGTAGATTGGTAAAGCACTGCGTACCTTGTCCTAAGGTTCGTAGGTTCGAGTCTCCTTCAGCCAGAGATCAGTGTTTGTGTATATTTCGCATGCTCTCGCGAATTCCTTGCATATATATATATATATACATATTATATATATATATATATATATATATATATATATATATATATATATATGATAGATAGATAGATATAGAAGTGAACAAGAAGAACTTTAATCAAATGTCGCTGTCTTGTTATAAAGGCTGGTTTCAACAGCTTGGAAAAAAAAAACTTTTGGGTTCCTGTATGAGGTAACGTTTAAATATATGCCATGATCTTGCAGGTGGCCTCCAGTTGCGCCTCGCCCGCTAGTATTAAGGTCAAAAACATTGCGTTAAAACCTAAAAGAGAACACACGCACGCGCACGCACGCACGCACGCGCGCACACACACACACACACACACACACACACACACACACACACACACACACACACACAAGTACGTGTGTACGTACGTACGTACGTCTCATCTTGGAAGAACGTCGCAATATTGGCCAAATTTCGTTTACACTGAACCCTCCACTCAAGATCGCACACGAAGACGACGGGAAGTTCCTGACAGATGTGAGGATAGGAAAACTTGTTGAAAAGTGCAGTATGTGTCTAGCGAGCTCTTTATTTCCACGATAAAGAAGAGCTTCTTCTTGATAAAGCTCTACTTAGAGTAATGTGTTGCCTGTTCTTTCTACATATAAAAGTCCTTTTACCAAATTCTCAACAGTTCTAGAGAATATAGTGAAATCAATCTCTCTCTCTCTCTCTCTCTCTCTCTCTCTCTCTCTCTCTCTCTCTCTCTCTCTCTCTCTCTCTCTCTCTCTCTCTCTCTCTCTCTCTCTCTCTCTCTCCCTCCCTCTCTCCGCACCTTCCAGCTGTGCCGAAGACTAATCATAGAGTTCGTGGTTTAGCAAGTTATCCATAGTTAAAAACCCTAGCAAAATTATTTTCAAGGACATCATTTCGATTTGATACAGGTCAAATCGAAACCGAAGGAAGTTTACCTGGAGCGAGTTCCGGGGGTCAGCGCCCCCCGCGGCTCCGTCTACGACCAGGCCTCACGCCAGGTCGGAACCGACGGAATCCAGGTTGGAACCGACAGAGGTAAAGTCAGAACCGACAGAGGTCACCTCGGAACCGATAGAGGGCAGGCCGGATATGACAGACGCCAGGTCAGACCCGTCAAAGGTCAGGTATCACCTCACTTCCCTGGTATGTATCACGCAACTATGAATTATATTTACCAATTCTGCATAAATAACCCGCACATAGGAAAGAGGAGCTTACAAACGACGTTTCGGTTCGACTTGGACCATTTACAGTCACACTGTGACTTTGTAAATGGTCCAAGTAGGACCGAAATGTCGTCATAAGCGCCTCTCTCCTATGTGCGGGTTCTTTGTGTATTGTTCCCGTCACGATATTGTGCCTTTTTGTTTTGCCCGGCGTAGATGCTCCTTGATAATAAGACGGCAACCACTTTTTTTTAAGCCTTGATGTTTAACTTGGTCTCCGTACTCAGGAGCAAGGTGCTGGGACCACGTCAAAATCCAGTTGCTAGGAGTACCCTAGCACACCGCCACCCAGGAAATTAATCATCATTTATTCACTGATAAACTCATGAGGGTCATACAGCGCTTGGGAGAGGAGGGAGGTAATTAAGTTCGGTCCGAAGAAGGGTAAAGTAACTGCAGTTACGCGGATCATGACTTCTTTGCTTTGAGATGACAGCATTGAGATGACAGCATGTCTGTGGCTTGTATGGTCCTTCCAGTTTATCTGACGAGCGTTTTTATTTGATTTTTTTTTTTTTTGACTGTTGCAGTGTTGGCTTGGACAGCTTCAGCGGGTAGATTGTTCCATAAGTTGATTTCTCTATTGAAGACTTCTAATTTTATTATATTCTATCGACAACTGTTCCATTGCTTTATTGTCTTGACTGCTCCATAGGTTTATTGTCTTGAAGACTGTTTCATTGATTTATTACTTTCTTGAAGACTCTTCATTAAATTCATTACTCTAAAAATCTGTTTAGAAAATTTGTTTCGGTCTTGAACACTTCTATGGGTTTATTACTCTTCAGAAAACGAGGAATTTCTTCAGGTTTGACAAACCTGAAGTTTGAAAACCAAGACACAAGATGCCAGATAAGCTTTCAATGGAATAACTTTTCGTTGTAAAGTTTTATCAAGTCTTCAACATGACTCATGTATGGTTTATCAAGTCTTCAACGAGATTAATGGGGCTTTAACATGAAATAACTAGTAATAGTTTCTCTACTGTAGAGGACGATCAACAACAGTCTGACTTGTCACAGATCAGGTCGTGGTATCTGGATGGAGGGTCAAGCCTCCTTGACCAAGGGTTTAGTGTTTCATGAAATGCAACACCTGAAAAGGCCACTGTCCAGGGTCGCCCCAACATTCGCAGGATCACTGCCCAGTCCACCCCAACACCAGCAGGATCACTGGCTAAAGAATATACATAAAAGAAAATGTGGTATAACAGATTGCAAAACCTTTATTAATAATAAGAGGCAACATTTTGCTTGGAGATTATTTTTTTTTCAAATCTATGGAGAGTAGATGGTAAGCATAGACATGCATAATCGGGAGAACAAGTAACAAAGAATCGCGAGGCGCAGAGCTATGTCAGGTGAGGAGGGTGGCCTTTCCAAAATCAGTTGGTTGGTTAAAATCTCTCTCACGGAATAAACAGTGCATTAGACTCTTGTCGAGTTCTAATGCTATATTTATGTAAGCTGGAAATTTTTCCTGGTTCTGGGTGATGGTGCTGGTGCTACGAATGAGAGCCATTTCCTAACATTTTTCACTCTGCTGTAATGCCTTTTTTTTATCAGAATACCTAGAAGTAAAATATACAGGCACAATTCGGACATTTATTGAAGGAAACGTTTTGCCACTGGTAGCTTTTCAGTACTAGGTGTTCAATCATTAAGATTTGAAAAAAAAAAAAAAAAAACGCTGGTGACGAATCGCCTCCTTCACTAAACGTCTTGATAGAGCATTTGTTTCGTTCCCTTTAACAGAGCATTTGTTTTGTTCCCACAATTCGTCTGTACTATCGTACCGTTACCTGTACCACTAGACTAAGTAGAGGCTGAGAAGTCAGTGACGTGTAAACGTGCCGATAGGTCACCTGTTGCTTTGTGACAGCGGTGTCAGGTTTAGTGAGGATTTGTTTAGCCAATACTCACTGAGATTGACAGTGAACTTGGATTTTGAGGAACAGTTTTGATTGTAGCGAATAAATAGCGATTGTAAACAAAGTCTATTCGCCAGTCTGTACTAATATGTTGGTCGTTCCTACTCACACTTAGCTATTCATGCACATGTCCAACTTGCTTTTTGTCGTTACTTCGATGTTTATTCCATTTATCTAGACCTCTATTAATGAATCTGTGCATTGATGATATGATGGTTTACATGTCGTGACCCCTCATCTAAGGTACTTACTCTTTACCCCTTTCCTCCCTACATGGACATGCTCCCTCTTCAATTTGTGTGTCTGCTGAAGAGGACTACAGTTGGGGATCGAAATATACTCTAGACCAACTTTATTTTGTGTGTTTCTCGCCATGTGAAACGTTTACCAACGACAAGTGATCATTATACGTTTCTTGTACTTACACCACACACACACACACACACACACACACACACACACACACACACACACACACACACACACACACACACACACACGAGGAATGACAAAGCTCAGGGAGCAGAGAGAGGACCTAGTAGCGATCAGTGAAGAGGCGGGGCCAGGAGCTGAGTCTCGACCCCTGCAACCACAATTAGGTGAGTACACACACACACACACACACACACACACACACACACACACACACACACACACACACCGACCTCTCCCACAAAGGTAGGGTGACCTGAAACAAAAGAATCTCTCAATCTATCACTGTCTTGCTAGAGTTGTGCTGACACTACTGCTCAGATGCCCCTTCAAACTTTAATATCTCCACTCAAGTCCAGCTAACTGATATCCATGAATTACAAGGTCCATGACTGTTATCTTGCTCACACCTCAACAGCACGTCAAGTCACAAAATCCAGTTGCCTCTACTCACTCTTGTCTAACTCGCTCGCACACGCCTATTAGATGTCCAGGCTTCTTGCATACAAAACCTTTATCACTTCCCTCCAACCTTTTCGAGAACCCCTACACCTCCTTCCCTCCTCTACAGATTTATACGCCCTCAAAGTCATCTTATTTTCCTCTATCCTCACTGAATGCCCAAACCACCTCAGTAACATCTCCTCAACCCTCTGGATTATACTCTAGTAACCCAGCACCTTCTAATTTCCAAACTACGAATTCTCTGCATAATATTCACACCACTCATTGTGCTCAGACATGACATTTCCACTGCTTCCAGCCTCCTCTTTTACTGCAACGTTTAAAACCAATGCTTCACACAGGTGTGTGTGTGTGTGTGTGTGTGACGTATCTATCGGTCTTTTAAGCCAGAACTGGCCGACTTGACTTAATCTGCAACTGTCGATTTGAAAAACAACAAGAGTGTAAATTCATTACTGAAAAACTGGCCGGGGCGTGCGTAGTGGTTTGCCCAAAAACGCCGGCTGAGCACTTCAACATGCTTGACCAGTAACTGGTAGCCCGGTACCCTTCAACTCGTTTTACCAGTCTCACGCCTTTGTTTCGCTCTCTTTTGGCATGGAATGTTTATTAAATTCCGTTAACAACTTGATACTTTGACTAACTCAAAATTGTAAGTAATATAAATAAGTAAATCAATTAATCACGAAACATTATTCGTGAAGTTGATGTCCATCCCGAATGATGTATGGACATACGTCTGTATTGTCCTTGAATTTTTTTATCAAAGTAAAAACCTGAACGTTTCCGAGGTAAAAATCAGATAATGGACGTCAGGAGTGATGTCTGACAGTTAGCAAGTCTTAGCAAAAGAAAAAAAAATATTTCAACAGTACATTTCCTGGTGACTACTAACCTGTAACAATAACAGGTACAAGAATATCAACATCTTGTGTAAAAAAAAAAAAAAGTACAACAGGCTTTTTCGAGTAAATACTTTTTTAGAGTAAATACTCCGGTGTGGCATTTATGCATGTTCGTTGATAAGCATTAGCGGAATTGTGGCAGTTTTTCCGAGATATATTTTATCACCTCAAGGAATTTCATATAACGAAGCATTTCCTTATTGACTCTTTATTGTGTTTTGAGTTCCCATATAGTGGGTTAAATGATGACTGATACTTTGCTCTTGGCAGAGTTTAATACTTTGTCATGCAGATACGGTGCCTGTAGACAAAATTAGGTATTGACAATGTTGTGTTTTCGGTTCTTGGTGTTGAGTATTTTAGTGGCTTTGCTTCTGCAGTCTTTTAGAGGAATGTGGGATATTGTAATTCAAAAAGGCTATCTTTGAAAGTGTTATATTTTTATCTAGAAATTCTGGGATGCATATCTTGAAGGCGTGCAGAAAAAAAAATATCCGATCATGACACCACTGTTTTAGCGTCGTCCTGTGACCAGCAGTTTGTCATTTACGTTAGTGAATGAAGATATCAAGAAAAGGAGTGTTATACCTCATTCGTTTTCTAAAGTGAATTGTATCGAGGATTCAGTATTGTGGTAAATCGAGATGTTTAGGACCTATAATCAAGAAATCACTGATCTGTCTCATCCACGATATATCCGAAATGATGTTGCATGAAAAATACATTCTGTCTCCAAATATTCCGTGAAAATACTGGCGTGAACCAATGGCCATGCCCAAGGGTTGTTTACAGTAGTTACCATCGTATGTAAAACGGCTGAAGTTCAACTCAACTAAATTAATGAAATCTTGACACTGCATGGGTGATTCAGAACCATCAGTGATTTTCAACAGCGTATTTATGGCTTGGTTGTGGGCACACTGAAGAGACGATATCCAGACTGGCTAATTGCGTGTTGATAATATTGGTTTTCTTTGGACTTGATATTACATCTCCAGAATAATTAAGTTGAAAGCCAGTAATAGTACTCTAGAAATTTAGAGAGAGATTTGCCAAACTAGTTATTGAAGAAGGTGATAAGTTTAAGAGAAAGCGTTTAGAAACTGCACTCATTACAACTTCCAGCATTTTTGTTCAAAAAGAAAGTTTTCAATCAGTCAAGCCTCTAGCAAGCAAATTCAGATGCAGTCATTCCTAGTCACCTGGCAACTATTTTCTTTCAAGCTGTCCGTTTAGAGTGTGCAATGTACAAACTTCAACTGGAGCGAGAAGACCTTGAGCAAAGCTTATCGTTGTGGTCAACCATCAAACCAAACTGTTCTCCTATTGCGCCTCACTACCACGCTTGATTCTTCCTTATGCTTGTATAACGCTCTTCCCAGGTATCTCTATTGTCCATATATCTGTTGGGCACCGTAGACGGTGTGTCACAGCTGCCCACTTGTACTTTGCGTCCCTCTTCCACCCACGCAGATACATGTCAGCCACAGCCAAAGGCCACCTGATGAATAAGACCAAAGTTCAAGGCTGTGTTTTTCCTTAAATGAATTATAAGATGCTTGCTGGCAGGGTTACATTCGAGTGAACATCCGATTACACACTCACACACGTATTTTAGATGATGTTTTTGTATCTTTTACCTTTTCTGACCTACAAAAGAGCTATTCTAGGGAGTCTAAGATATTATTTTTAATGCATCTCTTAGCAATTTACAGTATAAGTACATCTACAAATGATTTATCGTTGCTCAAATTGTTGTAGGCTCATATGCACTCGGGCTGCCTCATACCCGTCCAAAAAGTCTTGGAACCACTGCCCTTGTATACACTCCATTTTTGCATTCACTGACAGATTTCATTCTTTTCACAGACTCCTCCACACTGATATTCTATTTCCTTCATATATTCAGTGATCCACAGTATGTTTCATAGATCAATCTACTATCATATGAACTCATAATTATTGACATTTACTTCATCCAATCTTCCAATGCCAAGACTCGCTCTTCTTCTCATCACCTTGGTTTTTTTTTTTTTCTGTGCACACTTCATCTTCCTTCATTTACATGCCTTCTCAAACTCCACCAACTTTTGATACTTATTTTCTGAAATTTCCACTCCGCCATCAGCAAACAACAATAATGACAACCCTTCCTTCATATCAGGTTCATTATCTTTAATGACCCCCCCCCCCCAATACTCTAGCATTCACTTCTTTGACAAATCTTACCTATAAATGAATTAGACACTATGGCATCACATGTTCCTGTTTAAGGAAACTTTTACAGGAAAAAAGATCCCCTTCTGTGTTACGTATCCTAACCTGAGCCTCACTCAGTGCATTTATAACACGTCCCTTTTGCTCCTTTATCCATCCTATCACAGGCCTTTTCCAAATCCATACAAACAACAGCTTTTTCCTCTTATTTCTCACTGCAGACAATTCACACATCTGCTTGTCCTAAATCCACCTTGTTTCTTTTCGGCTCTGCAGTCTATCTTTTCCCATCACTCTCAATAATAATGCTACCATAATTTACGCTGTGTACTCATCAGATTTATTCCCTTACATTTCCCTATACAAATATAAATGTTACAAGAACAAAAAAGTAAAGCCTCCAGCAAAACAAAGAATTATACACGTACTCTGCTAATCATTAGATCAATTTTTTTGCTTATATTTAAATTTATGCTCCAACCATTTCCAAATTATATTACCGCCGGTTTCACTGTCTCAATCGTAATCGCGTTCATCTCCTGTGAAGGTGTCCACTACCTCACTCACTTCCTCTTTACCTACACTCGCATTTAGCTCTTTATTTATAACAATTTCTACTCCTCTCTGCCCATGCATAAAATCTCAAGTGTTCATTTCATTATTTATGCTTAACAATTCGAAATATTCTATCACTCTTTCCAAGAACGAAGACATGCTGCAGAAGAAACTTTTAGTTGGGAGAACTTTTTGCTCAAATACGACCTTTATCTAGGTCATATTTAATGAAACTTTACAGAGTGAAACGCTGTCCAGGTAAATACTTATTATACAACGTACTTTTTTTCAAAATTGTCAGTACGCCATTTGGATCCAGTCTCTAAAACCTGTAACTTCCTTCGCTATAATTACGACTATATCTCTCCTGTTCAAGCATGGTTGCCAGCACGGTACGTCGTCTCCCTGCTGGCCTTCCTGGGTGTCACCTTCAACTACGTTCTGCGTGTCAACATCAACTTCGCCTTGGTGGCCATGGTGAAGCACAGCAACGCCACACTTGGTCACACGTCTGTTAACGCCACACTCCTCACTGTCTTCAACGCCACCGAGGAGGACGTGTCCGTGGAGAGGGCCCAGGGAAGCCTCACCAGCCAACATACTTGCCCAGCCCCTGATAATGATATCACATCTCACACCACATACGTTAGTAGCATTATTACACCCGTATGGTTTCACATCACTTGAGAATGGGAGGTGCAATTGTTGCCCCCTAAACTCTGACTTTTACATAGACCCGGTAACAAATGACAGTTTTTCTTCTTTATTAAGACTATGGAGCGAGTGATAATATCCTTCAGAAAGAAACGAAGAGACTGCTGTTTTTTTCGTCTTTCCTCTGCATTTGTTTCTTCTGGCCTCAATTATTTTAATTAATATTTAAAATTATAAAAAATACACTAATGATAATAAAAGTATTCCAACAGTAATAACAAAAATTAATAACAATATTACTATTAATTCTCATTCCCCAAATCGTGTGGGTAATCAAGCCTTCTGACGTCAATAGCTAAGCAACAAGCTGTGTTCACAGAATGGTGACCTGCCATGGGACGAGTGGACACAAGGGCTGGTGGTCGGGGCGTTTTTCTACGGCAACGTAGTGTCGCACTGCCCGGGGGTCGCCTGGCAGAGCTCTGGGGCCCACACAGAGTGCTAGGCTGTGCTCTACTCTCCGCCAGCATCTTCACTCTGATACAGCCATTCGTTGCTAGGGTATCCTATATATTGTTGATCTTCGCCAGGATCGTCGTAGGACTCTCGCTGGTGAGTGAAAGACTAGTGTAATATATATATAACAGGGTTTAAAGCCTATCGACTACACTAGGGTGGTAAAGGTTTCAACATAAACTGAGGGAAATACACCTCATGGTGTATATATCCTATCGAATGAAGGATTTTCACATTCTCCATGGGTACTGTGGAAACGTTTCGCCCACTATTCCAATGATAGTCTCGATGGGCGAAACGCTCTTGTAACAAAACTAGCTAATGTTGCAGACGCCTTAGACATTTGTCTTTATTGCATCATTTTTATTATATATTGTTGTTAATGTCATTCTTATTCTTCTCATTGTTAGTATTAGTGCATAGTCCACAAGGGTCATTCAGCGGTGGAAATTGAGGGGCAGGGAATCAGTTTCGATCCAAGGGAGGGGAGGGTAGCTCCATTTCCTTTGGTCAAGAACCCTTGACCTTGAAAGGTTTTAAACTATGTTGACTTTCTTTATCGATGTCTGGTCTCATGGGACTTGTCATACCTGTTCTTGAAACTGTGTACAGATTATGCGTCCCCCTTCGCGCAGCTCATTCAATTTTACTTCGAAGCTAAGAATGGTGTACACTGCTCGTTGGAATGTAAGACGCATGTGCAATAGTTGATTAAAACGTTTTGCCTAAGCAGTAAGCTTCTTCAGTCAAGTACAGAGGAGAATAAATTGGAGGAAGCAGGTGCAGCAGTGAGGTAAAGATGATGTAATCAGTAAATCAACGTTGGAGAAATAGTTTTTGAGGTGACTGCTTCCTCAACTTGGAGAAGTGTTCAGCTCCCTATTGTGAAACTTAATCATAAGATTGGGTCTTAAATGCTGCTGAAGGTGAGACATAAAAATTTCGAAGACGCAGCAGGAGGCGGGGGCCATAAGTAGAAGGCAAGAAAATACATAGCAGACCTACTTAGCATGGACCAGTAAGCCTTCTACTAAGTAGGTCCCTCTCGATTCCAACCCTTCTCACTCACGAGTAAAGCTGGTTGTTATACCTATGATTCGTTTGTTATCTTTAGCTACCTGTAGGCTACCTATAGTCGCTTCCGGAGGTCACCATCCATAAGGCTCGGTCTCAGACCAGGCCTCTTGATTGCTGGCCTGATCGATCAGGCTGTTGGTGCCCGCCTATTGAATCCGGGTCATAAAGTTGTGATCCGAAGGCGCTACCTCCACTGATAGTTCCGGGACAAGTCCGGTTACGAACCTCTTGACCTTTTCGAGCTGAAGATGTTTAGTCAGGAGGGAACTCTACTTACTCCGCGTTGCATGATCATGATCGCGTTTAACGTCTTAAAGATTTCGATAAGATTCTCGAAGGAGTTCCTGTGTGTGTGTGTATGCGTACTCACTTATTTGAGGTGTGTGTGTGTGCGCGTGCGTGCGTGCGTGTGTGTGTGCGTGCGTGTGTGCGTATGCGTGTGTACGTACGTACATACACAAAGCGTTCTTAGCTATTCAGAGTCAGGGGGAGTGCATGGGAAACTTAGGAGAGGCTAAGTTATTCCCAGTATTAGTTTAAAACAGCATAAGTTACAAAAAAAGGCCCCGTAGCCCCTTATTCCCTGTGGCTGACTTTTTGTCACAACTGTTACAGTAACACATTATATCGAGCATTGGAGGTAACACAAAACGGGTTTTAGCGAGACAAGTATACAAATTGTTTAACTCGTTTGAAAGGTTGGCCTAAACCAAATTGATTGCAAATCTGAGTAAGGGTGAATTTGGCCTAAACCTTTATTCGATTCCTAGGTTACATTATGGATAAAGAAAAAGTGGTTCCTGTAAATGTTAAGGAGGAAGCAGTAGTTTCGGTAATCTCCCGATTCTTCAATGTATCTCTAAAAGGGAATATATGATAATGATACCCATTTGTAATAGCTGCCCGGGTCACCATGCAACTCTGGATCTCAACGCAATTTAACACTTATAAATAAGTAAATTCTGTTTCTTGCTGAACATATATGGAAGTTACATAAACGTTTGAAGAACACTTGGTTATAGTTCTGATACAAAGAGAATCAGTCATGCATGGTATTTCGGGAATTTATGGCAGACAGACACTTCATGCCGAGTAAATTTTTATTGTAGATGTTTCGCTCTACCTTGAGCGAAATTTTGTCTGCAATAAAGGTTTGGTCTGTACCGGTCATTTTTCTACTGTTTTTGTCCGTCCATAATTAATCACTACCACTTTCTTTTTATTGCAAGGTGATTATTTGGCAGTCAAAAGCAAACACAGATATATACACACAACAAAGCATACTCATACACTTCCATATAATCGCTCGCTCTCTTCCTTTCACTCACACACACACACACACACACACACACACACACACACACACACACACACACACACACACACACACACGCACATATACGTACGTATGTAATTTCCATACGATTACCTTTATTTCATTAATGTTTCATCAGTAGCATTATATTAATTCAGGGAACGGTCGGAGGTGGTGTTTTGCTAGGCAAGAAGTAGGACAGTGTCTTCTGACACAGGTTATATAATGGCCAGTCTGATGGTTAAGCTCACCTACCGTAGCTAGGTTTTCACTCCATTTTATACACGAAGGATCATTACAGAGTCGACTCCGTAGATAGTTCCTGGAATGTCAATAACTTGAAGGACAAAATAGAGAAGAGACGCTGTAGAACAAGATTTTACTGGAATAACGTTTCACTCTGTGTAGAGCTTTATCACGTTATGAATCGACAGAGGGATACACACAGCGAAGTGTAGTCCAATTAAAAGCTTGATTTGTATCTTGCGGGTTTTTTCAATATAGTTGGCAGGACGCCATTTGAATCCAGCCCAAGTTGTTTACAAACTCCACCACCACTACCTAAACACATCCACACCAAGGCTTAGTACCTTAAACCTAACCACCAGTCGGTAATTAATCATATCTTTTTTTCTTCCATATATATCCAGCCATAGCATACGTAGGTACCTCATGAGCCGGAGGACCCGGGTTCAATTATTGGTGGAGAAAGGGATGTAAACAGACAAACCTCAAAATACCTGTTGCTCCTATTATCCAGGAGTTAGACTGTTGTGAGTGGTATTCTGGGAAAGGGCCTAAGGATTCCCACGGTACTATTACCTGGAGTTTACCTGGAGAGAGTTTCGGGGATTAACGCCCTCGCGGCCCGGTCTGTGACCAGGCCTCCTGGTGGATCAGAGCCTGATCAACCAGGCTGTTGCTGCTGGCTACACGCAAACCAACGTACGAGCCACAGCCCGGCTGGTCAGGAACCGACTTTAGGTGCTTGTCCAGTGCCAGCTTGAAGACTGCCAGGGGTCTGTTGGTAATCCCCCTTATGTATGCTGGGAGGCAGTTGAACAGTCTCGGGCCCCTGACACTTATTGTATGGTCTCTTAACGTGCTAGTGACACCCCTGCTTTTCATTGGGGGGATGTTGCATCGTCTGCCAAGTCTTTTGCTTTCGTAGTGAGTGATTTTCGTGTGCAAGTTTGGTACTAGTCCCTCTAGGATTTTCTAGGTGTATATAATCATGTATCTCTCCCGCCTGCGTTCCAGGGAATACAGTTTTAGGAACCTCAAGCGCTCCCAGTAATTGAGGTGTTTTATCTCTGTTATGCGCGCCATGAAGGTTCTCTGTACATTTTCTAGGTCAGCAATTTCACCTGCCTTGAAAGGTGCTGTTAGTGTGCAGCAATATTCCAGCCTAGATAGAACAAGTGACCTGAAGAGTGTCATCATGGGCTTGCTTGACTTTCTTGAGTTATCCTGGGTTATTACGGTGCCCCGTGGCCTGGTGGCAAAAGCTCTCGCTTCACACGCCGAGTATCCGGGTTCGATTCCCGGCGAAGGGGTGGAAACATCGGACATGTTTCCTTACACCGGTTGTCTATGTTCGCCCCTCAGTAAAATGGGTACCTGAGTGTTAGTCTACTGGTGTGGGTCGCATCCTGGGACAAAACTGACCTAATTTCCCCGAAATGCTCTGCATAACAAGCGGCTTTCTATATAGTAATATGTCATTGATGTCAGCTAGGACTGTATACCTTATACATGTACTTGTAGTAAATAAAGATATTATTATTATTATATTACTTCCCCAGGCTTTGGTAAACATATCTGTAATAATGTTTACAACCTTAAGATTAGCTACTGCATCATCTGGCCTCTTTGAATATGTAATTACCTATTTGTAGTTAAGCTTAAGCAGAACGATGCTCGTGGTATCCCGTCTTCAGTAATTTATTTGCATCATTGTCTGCGCTAATTTACACGTAGGTTACTATAAAAACTAATTGTAAAAAATAAAACTTGGGTATTGCCGATATTCGTGGCTCAGTTGGTAGCGGTTTCCCCCTCACAACTGAGGGACCGGGGTTCGGTACCCCAGACGAGTGGAAACATTGAGTATTTTTCCTTATACCTGTTTGCCGTTGTTCACTTACCAAGGAGTTGGTACCTGAGTGTTAGCAGACTGTTGTAGGATCGCATCCTCGGGGAGAGGATTAAAGGACCCTAACGTAAATAAACCAGTCTGATGACAAGAGCTTTGTTGAGTTAACCTGGTTTACTAACCCTTCAGGCTAATATTCGAATGAAATTTACATTTCCTCTTCTACTTCCATTATGAAGAGCTTCTGACAAATATTATAGTTTATGCTAGTCAAGACAAGTTTTCTATTACGTAATTTATAGAACACCTAAATATTTAACGCGGTGTCTTAAGTAAATTAATGTCAACACTATAACAGTGGAAACAATAAGTTTATTCAGGTATACACAAATCCAGTTACATATATTATCATACATAGCAGCATGTGTGTAGAGAATCTAGAATAACCCAAAAAAGTCAGTGACTTATTTCCATTGGGGTTCTTTTAATACCTTATTATTATACTATAAAGGGATAATAATATATTATTATACTATAAAGGATATATACTAGGAATAAGGTAAAATAGTTATTTACATTTACATGTGTGTTAGTTAAAAAATAAAAAATCACTCTCCTCCCTTTCTGTCGCTACAGAAGACGTTATGTGAGTAACAGCAGCCTCGAAGGGTTAATAACATAGAATAACCCTAGAAAGCCTAGCAGTGTGGCTTATTGACACCGGGGTCCTCCTCAAACACCAACACCAACAACCTAAACTTCTAAGTACCTATTTACTACCAGGTAACAGGGCCATCAGGTATTAGAAGACTTGCTCGTAAGTCCTCTTCCAGCTTACTACTACTAGTAGTACTACAATTACTACTACACTTCGAGCAAGAATTAGACTCGGGTCCTTTCCATCTGCAAGCCAAATGCGGCACTACTCCGCTAGCAAGTTTTTAGGGTCTTTGTGTTTCCGCATCGGGAAGATTAATAACCCAGAAAATTAATAACACCACATAGCACACAGTAACACCAAAGAACACACAACGCCACATAACCCGCCGTAACACAGTAGAGTACATAACACAACACCACATAACTCACAATATCATCACTTCATATAATACCATCGAGTAACACAAAAACACCGGGTAACACACAATAATAAATACAAACCTTTATTTAAAAAATTACTGTTCAAAACATAATCTGAAGGTCAATAGGAACCATAGCATTTCGTGCGTGGTCTATAGGATCCACAGCATTTCGTGCGTGGTCTATAGGAGCCACAACATTTCGTACGTGGTCTATCGGATCCATAGCATTTCGTGCGTGGTCTATAGGATCCATAGCATTTCGTGTGTGGTCTATAGGATCCATAGCATTTCGTATGTGGTCTATAGGATCCATAGCATTTCGTGCGTGGTCTATAGGATCCACAGCATTTCGTGCGTGGTCTATAGGATCCACAGCATTTCGTGCATGGTCTATAGGATCCACAGCATTTCGTGTGTGGTCTATAGGAGCCATAGCATTTCGTGCGTGGTCAATAGGGTCCATAGCATTTCGTGCATGGTCTATAGGATTCATAGCATTTCTTGTGTGGTCTATAGGAGCCATAGCATTTCGTACGTGGTCTACAGGATCCATAGCATTTCGTGTGTGGTCTATAGGACCCATAGCATTTCGTGCGTAGTCTATAGGATCCACAGCATTTCATGTGTGGTCTGTGGGATCCATAGCATTTCGTGTGTGGTTTAAAGGATCCATAACATTTCGTGTGTGGTCTATAGGATCCACAGCATTTCGTGTGTGGTCTATTGGATCCATAGCATTTCGTGTGTGGTCTATAGGATCCATAGCATTTCGTGTGTGGTCTATAGGATCCACAGCAGTTCGTGTGTGGTCTATAGGATCCATAGCAGTTCGTGTGTGGTCTATAGGATCCATAGCAGTTCGTGTGTGGTCTATTGGATCCATAGCATTTCGTGTGGTCTATAGGATCCATAGCATTTTGTGTGTGGTCTGTAGGATCCATAGCATTTCGTGTGTGGTCTGTAGGATCCATAGCATTTCGTGTGGTCTATAGGATCCATAGCAGTTCGTGTGTGGTCTATAGGAACCATAGCAGTTCGTGTGTGGTCTATAGGATCCATAGCAGTTCGTGTGTGGTCTATAGGATCCACATCAGTTCGTGTGTGGTCTATAGGATTCATAGCATTTCGTGCGTGGTCAACCTCGGGAATCATCCGAGTATTACATCTTGCTCTGCCGTTCAGGGGATTTACTGTTTTTGCTTCCAGCGCTGCTGTTATTCACAGAACTAACAACTTGAATTTTTAATATGATGTAGATAATGGATGGGTCTTGAAGCCTACCTTTTAACATTACGGCTATTGTTTTTTTTTATGAATTTTTAAAGCTGGAATGTTGGAAGGATTTTTTTTTTTGAAGAGGATTTTTAATGCTATTTTAATTGGTCACAAACTTCTGCATCACAGTGTCAATTAGTCTGTTTTAACGATATGTGCATACGAGGATATTTTATTCTGTCCCATAATGTAGAAACGAAATAAATATTTTTTCATATTTTTGTTTTTACGTTTTCTTGAAAATTTGTACATATTTTGGCACCATTATATCCGTACATAAAGATAGCTTTTTGCAGAATGTATTTCCTTCTTAGGGTTACTTTACCTTGGTGGGAAACGGCCAATGTGATAAAAAAAAGTGATCTAGGCCTCTGAGTTACACCTCCATGTTTTAAATGTGTTCTAAATCTGAGAGCAACACTGCGAAGTGACAAGTTCGGTCTTCCCTCAGGGTGTTACCTCCCCAGCCAACCACGCTCTTCTCTCAGGGTGGGCGCCACCCATGGAACGATCAACTCTCTCAGCCATCATATACGCAGGTACGCCAGAATATACGCAGCTATATCAGCATATACTCAGGTACGTCATAACTGATGCAGGTAAGTTATCATACCCAGGTATGCTACTATTTACGCAAGTAAATATTTTATGCTTGCTTGCTTGCCACTTGATTTAGCTAGCTAAGATGGTTGGTTTTTCGTTGCACTCGTCTATTTTTTTACGAATATTAGCAATGGTGAAGGTAATTGCATTCCCAAGTCTTTATCGATTATCCGATAACGGTGTGACTCCATGTCGGTAGACATTTATAGATGCCTGGCTTTCCTCCAGGAAACTAGATTACAGATGTAGCGATGATATAAATATTTGTTAGTCTATTAGTTAGGAAGGAAAAAGACACAGGTCTTTGTAAATAAGATGACTCGTTAAGTGGTGCTGGTACATGTGAAAGTGACACAGTCATTGGCTATAAGCAAAAGTGGTCACCAGTTTACCCATACTGGACTAAGTAGTCTGAATGACTGATTTGAACCCTAACTGATTAATTTTAATTAGCTTGTCTTCAGGCCAACAAACTGTTAATTCCACAGGTAAAGGTCGGGTTGCAGATCTGTAAGGACAGGTAGCGAGTAGCAGACAGAGGATCGAGCCTCCACAACTCCTTGCACCGAATGACCCACACAGGATCCGAGTTCCATGTAAATATTATACTATTTATTCCACACCTTCTCCCACCACCGTGGCAGGAGTCCCAGCAGGTACAGTGGTGGCCTTCCCTGCGTCTGCTGTCATCATCGACATGCTGGGGTGGGAGGCTGTGTTTTACCTGCAGGGAGCAGTGACGCTGCTTTGGTGCCTCGCCTGGTTCTTGATCGTCACTGACTCGCCTGCTGACTACCGCTGGATCACCAACCAGGAGAAAAATTACATCATGTCCACTATTGGGGACACCAAGAGTAAAAAGGTTAGCGATTTAGTAATGCCTCGTGACTGACTGGTTGGTTAGTTAATGGAGTCTAAAGCCTATCGACTACAATAGGGTCATTAAGGCTACACATAACCTTTCCACCACCAGATAAGAATTCTTTAATTCCTATAATAGGGATATGTACGCTGAATACACCTCTCGCTGTATATATATCCTGAGGACGAACTGTAACGTCATCCGTCAGCATGGAGAACAGCTGCTCGGATTTGAGCTAAACGATAGGTTATGGAAATTTTCCATTTGTGAGTTATGCAGTGGAGACGTATTCTGAGCCAATAGTTAAAAAATCTGCTTTTAAGTAACCAAAATTAACTTAATACAAACCAACCTAACTCAACCAAACGAAAACTAGGATTAATTCTGGTTAGGCTAGGCTAAGTAGGTTACGTTAGGTTAGGATTGCTTACCAAAAAAACGGTTTCTCCCATTTGCACAAATTATAATTAGCTCCATTGCACTTAACATTAAACTTTACATAAAAACCGAACTGTTATCTCTATACTGATCACGTAGTTTAATTATGCTTGCAATTCGTGGGTTGTGAATATTTCGCTTCAAATTCTGGACTGTAATCGTTAGCCCAGTCCATGCGTCATCGGTTGTTTTACGGAATTCTAGCCATTAGCCGACAGGGAGGATCGAGCCTTAGCAATCGCTTTAACACAAATGAATAATGACAACATCATCAAACGCATTTTCAACATACGAGACTGAGGATAAATTAGTTAGCTAGGTGAGAGTTTTAGTAAAATTGCTTCAAAAAACGCTAACAGCTGCTAAGATTCGTCCGGCCACGTACTTAGATTCTCTTAAAAACTTTCATTTGTTGGTCACAGAGGTGCCTGTGCTAAATTCCTATGGTTGTAGAAATTTACCTATGATGACTTTATTGTGCGTAGCTGGTGTTAGTGCAGCTTAGCGCGACGGGCCTTGGAGGTTTTGAAGATCACTATACCGCGAGTTAAATTTCCGGGCTGGGTATGGTTTATTTGCATCGTGTCATTACGATTTCTTAAGTCAGTAGCATTTATATATCTTCAAGTTGTATACATCATATTAGTATTGGTATTAGTAGTAGTAGTAGTGGTAAGTCTGTGGGAAATTTTGGGACGAGGTTCACAGGTACATTCCTGAACTATTTCATCCATATAATTTACGGGGGGTACAACTAAACAATTTATTAAACTCGCCAAAATTAGTTGTACCTCATAGCTAAGTGGGATTTTAAGAGGCAGTAGGCTGCACCATGACTCCTTCGTGACCCACACATTCTTGCTCTCCCGCAAGTACAGTCGGGCCTATAAAATTTTAAATGTATAAAAAATTAATGCCAGTAACTCGGGTTTGTGACTTGAAGGGGATGTGTTGAGTCCACAGTATGAAAGTAATAATATATTCACGTTACACAAAATTATATGATACAAATATTTAGAAAAAATTGAACTTGAGCACTCACCATAGATATGTTAGATCACCATTAATTACTTGTAGAACACTTCCTTAATGCCTACCTAAGAAACAGAACCTAAATTGGCCAACTAATAAACTATTTGCTAAGTCTACTGACATACCTCTGTAGATGTGCAGCCCTGGTGACGCCGTTCTCACTCCATTATAGTGGTTTCATATATATTTTGTCCCAGTTCTTCAGCGGGGGACATTAATAAATATTCCAATTACAAATCAGGCCGGAACACAGTTATGGCTTCGATGACGCCTTATTACACAAACAATATTTTCAGCCAGTGTTTCTCACCCAAATTAAAATTGGCGTCTATGTATTCCTACGCCGTCGCTGGACATCCCCCTCATTCAAAATTTCTAGAAGCGTCAGCCCAACAACACATTTTAATACACAATTAATATATTATTCAAATTTACACATTCTGAATTTTGGAAAATATATAAAAAAATTTCCACATAGTCACGTAACATGTGGGCCAATAGACAATTGTATTGCTCCTCTTTTTCTCAAGTAATAGACATCCTATGGGTCAGTAGGCCTCTTAATTTGCTTTTTTTTTTATTACCTGTTATGTGCAGCCCATCAATAAAAACGATATTACAGAGTCAGGCTGTGCCGTGGAAGTCAATGATAACATCACTGCCAGTGTGGTCGGTGGTAGCTGGATCCTTCGGCCATAACTGGGGCTTCTACACTCTGCTCTCAGCCGTGCCTCTCTACACCAAGAGCATCTTGCATCAGGATATAAAGTCGGTCGGTCTCTTTTCATCATGATCACTGTATTTTGTAAAATGTATGTGGGAAAACTTTAAGAGTTAACTGTACTTATTATCCTTATATCTGTAGGATGTTCTGTAGTAGTAGTTGCAAAAATTATCATGGTTAATAATCTCAAAATTTCCACTGCACCATTGACACAACTTTACTCAGTTAATATCCCAAAGGATCTTTGGCACATTTCTATAAACTAGCAAACTTTGGTCACCTACTCACGAATGAAGAACTTGAATTTCGCAGTATTTGTGAATATATGTTCTTTTAGTACTCCGTAAGTATCTGAATTATACTAAATAATGTAATTCCATTGATGAATGTCAACTCAGTTTCATCAATAGCTCCAGGTAGTTTCCGGATACAAAGGCGTACTGAAGATAGTACTGAAGGAGGACACAGGGTCGGAGCAACTTTTTACTGTGACAACATTTCGCTCTACGTAGATCTTTAAGTCATTAAAAATCTACACAAAGAAAAATGTTGTCACAATAGAAGCTTACTCTTCGCCTGTGTCTGGGATCCGTAAGTGCTACTATCAACAGGCTTGTATCTTTCTTTAGTTTTGTTTTATATATCTTAAATAACAATCTAAGACTTCATATCCTACTCTAGCTCATTTTCAAAGCCCAGCCCTATCTAAGGTATATTACCACTCCTAAGAAGCCATCCATAGCAATCTACTAACACAGTTATCTATTTTCCACTAAGAGAACATGGGTAACAGATGGTGAGCAAATTCAGCTATAATCTTCTCTCTTTCTGAACTTAATCTGGGGTCATCTGGTTAAATTCTTTAGGAGTTCCACAAGAAAACTCTCTGGGGTTCTGTAGGTGTTCCACAGCGTAGTCTCTTGGGTTCTATAGGAGCTCTACAACGTAAGTGTCTAAGGATCTCTATGAGTTCCACTGGGTAGTGTCTTGAGTTCGGTAGGCGTTCCGCAGGGAAGTGTCTGGGTTCTGATTAAGATGAAGTATAAAGTAGTGATATCACTCCTGCTTTTACTAATTAACACTTATTGGTGATCGTGCTCTGCATTAAAGCATTATCAGTCTTAAAATTTAATTACATCTTTGGTTTAACTAAAAATGATTTCCTCCTTGACTGTATGTAAAGCACGTAGACCTATGGACTGATTACTGAATTTCTACCGTGCTTTCTCTCTCTCCATACACCTATAAGTGAAGTTAATGAAATGAAAAAGTAATGATTCTTAGTTTAACTAGAATTAGCACAATATCAGTCTCTGCTCTAAAAGAGGTGTTTCAGGATATCAATGAGACTGCTCACCTTCAAGTTATATAATCAAGAACTTAGTTTTATCAGGTACGAAACGACCCTGGAAATGCTGTACAGCTTATATAGCAGAAAATGAAGATGTTGATAGGAAAACCCAAAAGATTAACATGGATAAGAAAATATTTGAAGTTGGGAATTTGCAGCTGAGACACGAGGCTCCTGCCTCGTGTCTCATGAGAATTAAAACAAAAAGGCTCAGCTTGATTTAGAATTTCTTAAATTTTAATTCTGACGATGAATGGGAAAACTTCTGAAACGTCAGTGAAGAGAGAAAATTGAGGTTCTGTATAGACGGCATTCTTAGCAGCCATAGTCATACTGGGTTCTTGTTGCAGGACTTGCATTTTTTAAGTATAGATTATAGCAGATAGTCCTCAGTCGAGATAGCAATAGTCGAGATAGCAATAGTCTTTCTCTTCACAGCGTTGATATTTAGTCTAAAGTCATCTCTGCCATGTGCAGATTTTGTTTCCCCGACAGTAAATGCTCCCCTTCCTCTGGTTTTCCAGTATACATAAGGCCCCAGTAAACCCGTTCTTAACAATTCCAGCATCACTGTTAATCTTATAAGTCTCTCTCCATGGCACAGAATGCATCACTGTCAGGGCTGCCGTTCGTAGGTATGTGGATCATGTCGCTGGTGGGAGGGGTTGTATGCGACTGGTTCCAGCAGCGTTGGGGAACTTCAACCATCGCTGTGAGGAAGACATCACATTTTTTGGGTAAGTCAAAGGATCCTCTTGCAAAATATGGTTAAGAGGGCGAGAGGGTTAGCCAGAAGCTCCATAAATTGTGATGATTACTAGTTACTATATTTACGAAAAGCGCTGAATCCTGGCTGGTTATTCAGCGTTTATGAATGGTGAGACAACCGTAAGAAGGGAGGAGCGGAGGTGCAAGGTTAGAGAACAGGTAGGTCAAGATAGGACCGCCATGATGAGTGAGAAACAAAACGGGATAAGAGTAAGGATGAAGAGAGTCAGAAGTAAAATTGGCAGAGGGAAAAGAAAGTAAGAGAATTAAAAGGAGTTTGAGGAATTGTAATAATGACACATCGAACTGTTAACACCAGCAAAAACACTTCCTCCAAAAAATCTTTTACGCCAAGTGCTTTTCGTTTTATTTTCATTAGATTTGTCTTAAGGAAGTGCTAAACTCGTAAGGGTCATACGGCACTTGGATAATGAAAGGTAATAAAGTTAGATACAAGCCAGAGTAGAATAGTGCCACTGTCTCCAGTGTAATATTCTCGTGTATTTGACTGAAGAAGCCTGTTGTACAGGCGAAACATTTCGACAGAGATTCCCAAGTGTTACACACATGTCATTGTCATCAATAATTGTCGGTATTGTATACCCTCAAGGAAGAAAAAAAAAGTAAAAATACCGCAGTTGGAACTATTCACCAAAAACTCGCAATTAGGAGAGGAACATTAGGATGATGTTTCGGTCAGTTTTGGACCATTCAGATCCCCAAAAAATTGACAGTGGTCTAAGTTAGTTTAATATGTTTATTATGGACCCCATACCCATCCTGTGTGCAGTAGTCAAAATATTGTGTAGCTATCAGAATTTTGTGGTCCAGAGAATGGGCCGCAAAGTTTTGATTGCTACTCAAGTCACAATAATAATGAATTATTTACATGTTTATATCTTGTTACGATCGTAATGAGTTAATTACACAGACATGAATTAAGTAACAAAAATATTACAATGTAGCTTGGTTCTGAATTATTTACACTACCCTAAAAATAAAAACACGGTAAGGGTGGGGATCAAACTCACGGCAAGTAAGTAGTAAAACTCCAGGTCCAAGACGGACCGAAGAGTCACGCTGACATTCCTCTCCTAAGAGAGTGCTGTTCATGGTCTGTATACCATCATTGTTTGATGTAATTGGGGCTATACTGGTATTCAGATTTACTGATAGCTTTCCAGCGGTCATATAATTTTAAGGATAACTCTGTTAAATGTTTGTTATCTTACTCTACATATGGGTTTCTATTAAATATATCTTACCAAACATATAACATACAAAAAAAGTGTGTTTACTGTTTTTTGAGGTTACACCTCCTACGTGAGGCCTGGTCATGGACCGGTGGGAAATACCTGAAGATTTTACATATAACGCATTATGCGTCATTATTTAATCTTTTTTTTTTAATTTTGCTTAAATACAATGCAGTATTCACTTAGGTGAATAATAGTGTTAATATCCTTATAGGGAAGTGAAAATTCCTTTAAAGAGTGCTTTATTTTGACAGCCAACGTGGGGCCAGCAGTGTGTGTAATTGGACTCATGGTTGCTGGTTGTGACTGGCATTTGACAGTGGCCCTTTTGGTAGTGGGCGTGGCCTTTAAGGGACTTATATTCTCTGGCCACTACGTCAGCCCTATCGACCTGGCACCCAACTTCGCTGGCACAGTACTAGGCATTACCAACACCATAGCCAATATTCCCGGCTTCCTGGCGCCTATGTTAAACGGCTTTATCATTAATAATCAGGTTGGTGAATTATTTCATATTGGTTGGTAAGTTGATTAAAGTCTATTGATTTCATGAGGGCCATTGTTGCTTTGTATAACCAGTCTAAGGTAATTTAATGCCTAAAATATGAGTAACCTCAGAGTAACCTCTCA